TGGAGTTACGGAGCGCCCTGTAACACCTACTATGGTTCATTTTTTTTCAGAGATGACCCTACCATTTCAATCGCTTATGGGGGGTGGATGTTAAGGAGGAAACCCGGGGGGGGAATAATTCCCCCGAGGGAAAAGGGCGGAGTGTAAAATAAAAAGAATAAGATCCCAAGAGAACAGAAAAAAAAAAAAAAAAAAAAAAAAAAAAAAAAAAAAAAAAAAAAAAACAGATGAAAGAGAGGGACGATTAGTCCGCTCTGCGGATGCCCAAAAAAAGTGTGTTGACGCCGTGTTTCCCCCAGGTGTATGTTATACCTTCATCCCGTTACACTCCGTTTCCCTCCCAATAACCGCCGTCGTAATTGCAGCTGAATGAATGTAAGGCGAATGAGACACTAGAAACAAGATATAAATCATGCCGAAGTGCTAATTCGGGTGGCTCTCATATGCATGGCAAAAACTAGACGACTCTTTAGTTACGGCTCGACTCTTGATGTAGAACAAACAACTTACATTCATGACAATAAGCATGGGGATGTCAAAGACATCCCGTTTGACAGTCCAGCAATAGCTGCACTCGACTTTGCCGTCGCGGAACCCAAGCTGGTTCATGCCAGCTTCGCCAGCAATCTCACCTTTGCCCCATCGGCGCAGCCCCCGCCCGTTCGTCGTGGCTCCGTTAGCGTTACTGCCATTGAGCTCGTTTGCCTCGCTGCTGCTGGCTTCGCCATTCTGCCCGGCATCAGCCTCGCCGTTGCTACCAGCGAGTATGTCGCTGTCTGCCTTGGTCTTGTACTTGAGCAGCTTGCAGGTAGTCATCACGCTACCACGAGAGTCACCGAAGGCAAGCTTGGCAAAGTCTTCGTAGAATTCAATTACACTATCGTCGTCTAGCAGTTCGGCGAGAAAGACGGGCTGAGTGCGTGGTGTAGCTGCTGTGCTGGAGTTGTATACATCGGAGCTATAGGGCCTTGGTGTATAACTTCCTCGAGATGTCGAGTCAGTAACGAGACCCGATGAGCCACCGGTGTTGACGTTATGGTTTGGTTCCTTGCCCAGCAGCACTTCCTTTCTCCAGCCAGTGAGGATGCTAAACTCCTTCCCTACTGCAGCAATCTCGCCGGTTCGCCGACAAACTATCGTTGGAGTGCCACATGCATTGATGAAGTCTTCGTACTCCCAGAGTGTGCGCTGAAAACATTTCTCCATGAATATCAGGTCATCTCGGTTTAGAGTTTTTGTTGTCGCGATAAACGATGGCCGAATGGATGCCAGTGCTTTGGCAATACGCAGGGTCTTTTGTGGAGAGAAACGACGCTGGATGAATGCCGTTAAAGAGTGGAAGCCGCTAGTATAGGAATACGGATCCTTGACGCTGTCGTAGATAGACGACGCATTCTTATGCCTGCGCCTGCCGCCGAGGTTCAAATTTTGCTGCTTAAGCTGGGGTGTTGACACCACTGGCTGCTGCCTCTGTTGGGACACGGATGCGTTCGGTCTAGAGCTGAACGCCCCGGAATTCGTCGTGTCTTCAAACGTTGCTGAGTTGGTTGTCATCATCGGACTTTCATTGGAAGCAGGACTGGCAAAATTGGCCGGGGCACTTTCGATCGCGAATGCATGCGGCTTGTCCGACATATTTCCCGCCACCATGTTGGCATTTGAACCGTATATACTCCTCCTATTGACGGGTGCAGTTTGCGTCCAGTCATTCATACCAGATTCGTTGAACAAATAGGGCGTCTGATTACTAGGGCTCTCAGCAAAGTTGGATCCGGCAAGACCGAATGTCCCAGAGCCGTTCTGGCCAATTGACCCGCGTTGGGCGCCGCTATCGCTAGGTGGTGTGTCACCTACCCCTGTCGCCATATGTCCAAGCATCCCGAACTCCAAAGCACCATAATGGTTCCCAAAGTTCATGCTGGCAAGATCAAAGTTGAACAGCGCGGGGTCGCTAGGATCAAAGAAGGCTGAATTAAATTGACCTGGAGCAGCATTTGCCGTTGATGGCGTCTCACTTGCAGATTGCGGGAGAGACGGAGAAAGAACCGGATTTGGCATTCCTTGACCTATTTGATATGTGGGCGAAACAGGAGACTGGGAAGCGTAATTTTCAGGTCCTACCGTACTGTCATGCAGTTCGTTTTTGTTTTGGGGGAAGCTATTATAATCCGGAGACTGCTGAGTACTGTAAAAATTGGGCGATGTCATCTGTTGAGGGACGCCGGGAGAAGTGTTTGATCCATTGACGTTGTTTTGTGCAGCGTTCCTCTGGTTATAGAGGGTTGCTCCTACCCCGGCCATCAATACCTCATTTGGCGCATCGTGAAGGTATTTGGCCTTCTTTCTTACGCCGTCATGGCAGGCATCTTGAAATCCGCGCTTGATACAACGCTGACACGGTCTCTCATCACCTAGGAGTAGCAGAAGTGCGAGGTGCGTTAGCTCTACATAGCCATTATAGCATAAAGGGCTTACATACCACAAGTTAGATGGCCCCGCTGGCAAGCGTAACAAGCTCGCTTGGCCTTTTTCCGCTTCGGTCTTGAAGGGTCCTTCGCCGCCTTTGCAGCTGCAGCTTTCTTCTCAGCAGCTACCATATCAGCCATCTCATCATTATTTGTCTGGATATATTGAGATGAAGCTGGCGCATTCTCGCCATTGACGGCCATGTTGTCAGATTCCTGACCAGTAGTTTGGTGCGGGGACATGGTATCTGAGCACTCCCGGGAGCTAGTCGTCATAATAAAAGCCTGCCGCTATAGCTATTTATATAACGCGGAGGTCTTAGTTGGGAATGGAACGGCACGGTGCCTCCTCCCCCGAAGAAACAGGCACCAAAACGGAAGACGAGCGTGGATGAAACGCCGCCAACTCCGGAACCCAAGAAAACGTGTCTGTACGTCTGCGTGGTATTGCGTTTGAGTGGCCGGGGGGGTATTATCAGAACAAACGGTGTGTGTGAGAGCGTGTGTGAGGGGACGCAAAAGCTGTGGTGGCGCTGTCAAGAGAGGGAGAAAGGCTTTGTGGTCCAACTACCAGTGTCTGTGTGCTGGATATTTTTCTTTTTCGGGACGATCGATGCCCACGTTCAGCGGTCCAAGGCTTGTCGACTTTCCCCGTCCAAGTGTGATAGTCTCCCTGGCGCGAGAGAGGTGATTATTCTTCTTGTTGATGTGAGTTTCAGGATGTGGGATCGCACTACCACGATGACGGCCCTGGATTCAACTGGTCCAGGTGAAGCTTGGCCGGTTCGCTAATGCACGAGTAAAGGGTCAAGCTGAGGTTTCACGGCAGGGAAAAAATAACGACGCCTTTTTGGGGAGGTATGAAGGTCGAAGAGAGGGCTGTTATGGATCACGCGGCCGTGGCGAGTATAGCTCGAGTTGGATGTCGTGCGACAAAGAAAAATGCAGCAAGCTGATTGAAGGTATTTCGATCGAAACAGAGATCAGAGGTCAAACACCAATGGCATCTTTGTGCAGGGCTGGCCGAGATGAAATCGTTGGACGAAGCTTGCAAAGCTAACACAGCGCACAGATCGCGGGATTGTGAAGTCGAACAATGCAAGTCAAGAGTCAGAACGGGGGTGCTCAACGGACGGAGTACGCAGCAAGACTGGGCGCGGGGGTTTCGTTCGACCAAAGAGAGACCTTTCTCGTCCGTATCGTATTTCACGTATGCAAAGACGAGGCTGGAGGCTGAAAGCTGCGAATACAGGAGCGCGGGTGTCGGCCAGATCTGGGGTGTTGATGGGAGAATAACCGAAAGCTGGGGTTCTCAGTGGTGCCTGAAGAGCGAGAGCCGAGCTGCAGCGTATAATGGCCTTCGCATGGATACATCGAAACGAAGGAGATGAAAGGGGGCGTCGAGGGAGAATATATTGATGGCTTTCGTCACGGTGGTCGTTGATAAATGGTGATGACGATGTGGTGGTCGTAGGGAGAGATAGTTAAGAGACAGTCAAGCAGTTTTTTCCCAGTGGGGAACGTCGAATATGGCAGCAACTGGCGGTTGGTAACTTTTTTGCCTGTGATAATAATATCACCGGCGCAAGGCAGATGAATCTGGTCTGTTCGTAACGGGCCTCACAAAAATCGATTCAACTATCGAGCCTATAAGAGCGTAAGCCCAGTCAGCATCAATTCGGCTTGATTCCTCTCTGCCCTTTACTTTTTCTCTCCCTTCTGTTTCTGAAGGCGCTCCTTTTCGGCTGGCTTTTCCTTTGGTCTTTGTGGAGGAATCTCCACCAGTGTCCCCAGTGCCAATCGTCTCTAGTTAGTCACTCACGGCTAAGGGCCGATGGGCTCTTCTCACGCGACCTGTTATTCCTTCGGCTTTTCGTCTCAACGAAAGGACGGACTCACTCATGTTCATTCTGATTGCGGGCGTGGGACTTGACTTCTGCGCCAAGATGGAAAGGCCGGCTTCGCTAAAAGGAAAAGAAATAATTATTAATTCAGTCCTTTCTTTTTCCCAGTCGTTTCTTTTAGGCTGCTCGCGAGGCAGGGGTTTTCCTGGTAAGCTGCTGGGCTCTGCAGATGCCCCTCGCTCAGAGGTTTGTACGTATAACTATCGAACAGCAGCCAAGGTATCGCCTCCTTTTCTGTCGCTGACATTTATAGCAATGCAATTGACTGCCGTCATGGAAAATTTTTAAGCTGGACAGGCAGACTATGTTCCCCTGAAGTGGCAAACATCTCCCCTTAACTAAAAATGCTTAACTGCGGTGAAGCAGTGGTTGCATCATTTTTTGCAATCGGCCAGGGCTGGCCATAAAAAATAACGATTCAGGCGCATTCCATAGACGACCCAGCTCGAGACACGTATTTGTTGGTAAATATGTTTCAGGGTTATTGTCAACATCGGCTATCCAATTTCCCGGGCTAAAGAGCTTTCAATGGCCGAAAATGCTTGCCGCACAGTCGCGCGAATTGGCAACCAGTCTGATCACAGTAGTTCGTATTGATGCAGTCGTTAGTGTTTGGCTGGCTTCATGAACAGGGTCCAAGTCGCAGTTTAACTATGCGGTCCGATCGACACAGCAATCTTCCATATCTCTTTCTCTATGCAGTCTGCTGAATCCCAGCTAGTTAGCGCATGCCACGCACCAACGGGGACTGCTCCAGAGTTCGCAGGAAGCGTTTCAGGGTAGATAGAAAAAGGGAATATGGCTGATTTACCCTGCTAGTTACATTGCCGAAGCAAATCGGCGAGCTGCCTATACCGGACGAAACTTCGACGAACGGAGCGCACCAAGTCCCAATGCAGGCCCGATCCGTGGAAGAAATCGAGGCGAGGGATCACAGCCAGCCAGTAATGTTGTTGTGGCTGCCATCGAAAGGCCTGTTGCTGCTGTCTTTCAGTGTGTCAGAATGCCGCAGCGAACAAGAGGACTGGCTATGCGCCGATAGTCGCACACGCTCTGTCTCCAGGTAACATGAACTCGTTCCATGGGCCGTGTGCCGTCCCGGGATACAGACTCCTGGGGTGCTTTTGTTCCACAGATCTTATGCTTGTTTGTGTTGCTTGTGGATGTTCAAGAATCGATGAAAAGTTGAGGTTGAAGTTGACGTTTGACATTTTGTGGCCTGACGTTGGAATTGCCCAAAGCGGTAACTCATCAACTCGTAAATGCCACCAATATCAATATCAACGCCAACTACTGCTATCAAAAATACAATAAACACATTACAGGCTGGGCCAGTAAGCCAACGGCGTTTCGATCTATGCTAACCAGCTAGCTGTACTCCGCGCCGTCTCCGGGTACAGTGTCACTGAAGAATATCTCCAATAAGTATAATGCCTGTTGGTTGTGTACTTTAGGTGACATCGATACTGATTCGCCCTCTAGGAATTGGAATCTGGGATCTTCATGAGATTCCCCGCGCTCTAGCCGTAGCTATCCAGTTTGCTTTGCTGTATATTCTGGGATTCAAGCATCGAATCCGCGCATGCATTTGTCGATT